GCATCCTATAAAGTCACTACAGATTAAGGCTAGACTTCAATTACAGCAAAATCATGAGAAAGCCACATACACATTGAAATGGAACAACTCTCTATTCAATGATAACTTGGTCAGGGAATAAATAAAGAAATGAAAGACTTTCTAAAATCCGATGGAAATGAATGTACAGCATACCCAAACTTATGGAACACAATGAAAGCAGTGATAAGACAAAAATTCATAGCACTAAGTGCCCTCATAATGATACCAGAGATATCCTATCCTAGCAACTTAACAGTACACTAGAAAGCTTTAGAACAAAAAGAAGCAAATACACCTATGAGAAGTAGACAGCGGAAAATAATCAAACTCAGGGCAGAAATCAACCAATTAGACATAAAAAGAACAATACAGAGAATCAAAAAAGCCAAGAGCTGGTTCTTTGAGAAAATCAACAAGATAGAAAAACAGAAACTGGAAGGCACAGAGACAGTATCCACGTTTTTAAAAATCAGAAAGAAAACGGAGACATGAGAAGACAAACTGGAACAAGCCTTTAATCTCAGCACTTGGGAGGCAGAGTCAGGCAGATTTCTAAGTTTGAGGCAAGCCTGGTCTACAGAGTGAGTTCCAGAACAGCCAGGGCTACACAGAGAAACCCTGTCTCGAATAACAAAAAGTAAGAAGAGAAACTGAGAAAAAAAATTGAAATCATCAGATCTTTCTATGAACTGGAAAATCTAGATGAAATGGATAATCATCTAGACAGATACCACAAACATAAGTTAAATCAAGATCAGGGAAATTATCTAAATTGTCACATAATTTCTAAGGAAATCAAGGAAGTCATTAAAAACCTCCCAATGAAAAAAGAAAAAAAAAAAAAAAGAAAGAAAGAAAGGTAAGGGCTAGGTAGTGTTAGAGCAGATTTTACCAGATCTTCAAAGAAGAGCTAAAAGCAATATTCTTTGAACCATTCTAGAAAATAAAAACAGAAGGAACACTACTTAATTCATTTTATCTTCACTTTTTAAAATGCCAATTATTAATTCAAAATACATCACTGTTGCCAATTCTTGTTTGTTTTCGTTCCTCTACAATTCCAGGTCACTAAGTATTTCTTTACATCTTTTTCAAGTCCTGTTGTTTGTTTATTTCTGTTCATAGGAGTGTTGCCTGTAGCTGAGGCTTGCCACTTTGTATGTAATTAAGAATTACTTTGAGCACTCAATTCTTTCTCTGCTGCCCAGTGCAGGGTAGGGTGTCTTGCAACTTTACAGGACTGGTCCTTGACTGGACAGTTCAAAGCAAAAATCAAACACAGAGTGAGTTTTCTCTAACCTCTCTTGCTTTTATTGGGTCTTAATATGAAGAGAGGCCTGTGCAAGTATCAAGTTCTATTACCAAGGTTGAAGCAGGATTAGTCACAGTAGAAAAAGGGATGGAAAAGGAGTATGAAAGCTTCTCTGCTTTGACAGTGAATGATATTACCAAGGAGTTGTGTAGTAATTAATCAACAATATATGTTTTTACTGGCCTTTCCTTGGGACTGCACACTAGGCAATCAAGAATCCGGAGAAAAAACTGGACTTATGTTAAACATAATTAATGTCGTTACACTAATTCAACCAAAATAAGAAATCTGGGTATCAATGATGTGGTACTGTCTAAAAAGTCTATTATATTCTAGAATTAAAATGTTCAGCTTGAGAGAAAATTTATAAGTAATATTTGATGTACAAGATCCTAGACGCTGGACACATGGCCATAAAGCCTGGTGTGACATTTTACAATAATTTTTTTCTGATTATAATTACATCATTACAACCATTTTTTTTCCTGCCTTCGATGATTGCTTAATAACCACACCTAAAATCTAAAGCTGTGGGGAAGAAAGGTAGTCGGTGCTTCAGTTCCCAGGCTTGGTGTCCAGGGATTAGACCATGAACGAGAGAAAAGAGGAAGAAGGAAGAAGGTGCCATGGGGTAGGTGGATTGTGAGTGCACGGCCAGGAGGGATGGCCTTGGAGTTAGAGCAGCCTAGAGAGAATATGACAGTTAATATCTCACAGTTATTAACAGGGAAGTAGACAAAATAGCATAGAGGACTGACATCTCCCTAACTCTGGTGCTTTAATGCTTGTCTCATATGTGTTACCTCCTTGATTTAAGAGGGGTAAGAAACCTCCAAATAATATTTACCACAAGAAGATAGCTGTAATTATGGTTTGTGTCTAATTATTCAAATGGAATGGAAAGTAAGATGGTAGAGTGTACTCAGTAGTCACAGCTCTTCTTCCTTCTTGAAAGTGTCATACTGTGCTTCCAGACACCTTTTCTTTTTCCTTTTTTCTTTTTTCCTTTCTTCTTTTTTACTTTTTTTTTTTTTTTGATTTTTCAAGACAGGGTTTCTCTGTGTTGCTCTGACTGTCTTGCAACTCATGCTGTAGACCAGGCTGGCCTCAAACTCAGAAATCTGCCTGCCTTTGCCTCCCAAGTGCTGGGATTAAAGGTGTGCACAACCACTACCGGTCCAGACACCTTTTCTTTAAAGAAGACAAAGGCGAGTGATCGTTCCAGTAACTCTTTATCAGACATGGAACTTGAAAAGCAATGTGCTGCTCCCTGTGGTGGTCCATGACTATAATGTCAGAACCCAACCGACAAGGCAGGAAGATCAGAAGGCCAAGACCCAGCTCAGCTAGCTAATGAATTTGATGCTAGCTAAACTAAATTAAACTCTGTCTTACTTTCACCTAAATATTTTCATCAAAAGTGGTAGAAAAAGTGTCATATGAGTACATACATCCATACATATCTCTTTCTACTTAATGTTTCTATATGTGGATAAAAGCATTGGGAAAACAAGTAGAATCAATAGTAAAATATTTTCTATGGGGGAAATTATGTCTAATTTAGCTTTTGAGTTTTCTATTTTGCATCTATATTTTGTCATTTTCTCTATCAAACATGGATTCCTTGTGCAGTTTAATCAAAAGCACAAGCCATGATAAATAGTCTACACAACAGATGTGGCCTGGAATGTGTTATAATTTTATTCTAATTCCTATGGATTTAGAGAGAAAGATATCAAATACACATTTGTAGCCCAGTTGCAGAGGTCACACATGGATCTGGAGACTCTCTAGTAGGAGAAGGCCAAGAAAATCTCCAGTGCTGGAGATAAATCACATAATGCCCAAGGTCAGATTGTGTTTTCTCATTAAGCAGCAGTAAAGCCTGCTTCTGAGCAAGACACTGAGTTTCTTATTGCAAGAAGAGCTTAGTAAGGTGAAAGCAGAGCTTGAGAGCTGGAGTAAGAGCATCTGAATATGACAAATCAGAAGCATGCAGAGCAGTTTCCAGCCTAGATGTCAGATGTGTGAAGAACAGTGAAGAGAGGAGGCAGCAAGGTCACAAGGTGACTCAGTGGCATCCTTACTTGAGAAGATGAACACATACATCTCTTGGAACATGTTATGAAGTTACTGATCTAACAAATACCTTTTGTCACTATGTCTTCATTAATATAAGCGGAAGCAGTTTGCTTTATTTTGCATTGCCAGTAGTATACCATTACAGTTTTGCCTCAAGAATATATTATATTTGCAGCTCTGTGTCATAACTTAGAAGAGACCTTGATCATATGTGTCTTTCATGGAATACAATATTAGTACTCTAAAGTGGACATTAGTAGAATTGACCTAGGCAGTATGACGTGTCAACCAATTTGGACTCATTGGTAACTCATCTGGGCATCAGAAGACAGAAAATAAATCCAACTAAATTAAGTAGTCTTCTAATTTAGTGCAATGCTTAGGAATTGATTGCTGTAGAGTATTCAGAGATATTAATTACAAGGTCAAAGATATGAAATCGCACCTGGCCTTTCTTATCACAAAGAAAGAAGCACAACAATTAGTAGGCTTATTGGGATCCTCGAGACAGAACATTCCTCATTTGGGTGTGTTATACCAGCTTATATACCAAGTAGCCCAGAAACCTGCTAGCTTTCTGTTGGGGGCCAGAAACAGGAGAAGGCTCTCTAACAGGACCAGGCTAGTGTGCAGGCTGTTCTACTATTTTCAGTGTCAGATAGGAATATTGTTTGGAGCCTTTGGCAGGGTCTTATTGTGAAATACAGATTTTGAATATTGGAACAAGGCTCAACCATCAACTCTGTCCAAAGATTTTCCCTTTTAAAAAGAGATCTTGGCCTTCTAGTCCATCTTAGTAGAAACTGAAGAGAGAGTAGGAGAACAAGTTACCATAAAACCTGAGCTGCCCATCCTGAGCTGGGTTCCATTTGACCCAACCAGACAGCAGCAGTAACCCAGCATCCTGAGCATGTCCTCAAGGCACAAGAAAGTTACATAAAAATTTTCCCAGATGCCTACAGTTTTCTATTCCTGTACCATGCTCTCTGTTGTCATACATGCACCTAGAGCTTCCTGGTGTAGGCCGTATCATCAAATGACTGATCACTAGGTTCTGGTTTGACTACGGGTTCTTCCTGTTATGGAGGCCCAATCAAGAAATGAACAACTGCAGCATGAAGACATGTTCCTGGAATAACCCTGAAAGACACCAGTAAAGGGAAATCATCACAGTTCAGAGCTTCATGCAGTAGTCATCCTCATACATTTGTTTGGAAATGTGTGATTATTCATTGAATCATCAGCTGTAAACAGTGGTATGGCTTGACCATCACAGACTTGGAAAGAAAACAATTAGAAAATTGTTGAGAAAGACATAAAAGGGAGAAGTATGTGGATAGATCTCTCAAAAATGGGCAAAGTATGTAAAGATACTTATGTCCCAGGTAAGTACTGATCTTAAGGTAAGTTCAGCTATGCAAACATTCAGTAATCAAGTAGGTAGGATGATCTATTCTGTGGGAAACCAGCCATGTCCCCAGCTATATCTACCATTTTCCAGTGGTCCCTTGAACATAGTGGCCATCGTGGATGCAGTAGGGTTTATGCATGGGTACAACAGTAGAGCCCTCTCACCAAGCCCGACATGGCCACATCTGCAAGTATGTACCAGGTCTACCAGCAGCAGAGACTAACACTGAACACTACATATGGAACTATCTCCTGTGTGGGCCAGCCAGTGACTGGGTGGAAGGTTGACTACATTGGATAATTTCTCTTGGGCAAAGGACAAAGCTTTCTTCTTCCTGGAATCCATAGTATTAAAGATGCCAGTATCATGGAATGTCTACAAAGAACAGCAGCAGCAGTGGAGTGAAGTCTACCAGAGACTAGAGTGCTACAGAAGGCATGGCTGGAGAAGTGACACAAAGCCTTTGGAAGAGCCCAGAAGATCATGTGTAAATCTTAGACATTGAAACTAGAAGCAGTAAAGATGAAGTTGACTTGGAGACTTCAAGATTTTAAAGATGCTTAGTTCTGTGTAATTAGAACTTGAAGACTATTGTGTAGGAGCCTTAGTTTATAGAATTGTAATCTAGTTCATGTATGACATTCAGAGATAAAACAGCTCTTTACACATTGTCACAAATATAAAAATTATCATATAAGAGTGATGGATTTGGGGGAATTCTTAAGGTTTATTCATCTCTAAATATCACTAATTTCTTAAGCTTATTTCAGAAAAATCGGCATATATGTGTCTCCTAGTGTGAAGTTTACTGCAATTGGAGAGAAAATTTCATGTTCCTAGCACTCTCCGCAATCATCCCTCTATGTTCTTTTAGAATACCAGAAGGAAGATCCCAGTTTTTTCTAGTAATGATTTTTGCTACTGATGAGATCAACAGGAATCCTTATCTTTTACCGAACTTGTCTTTGGCATTCTCAAACACTGGTGGCATGTGTGAAGTTACATTTGAAGAACTGGAAAGAAACTACTTATCACAAAATAATTCTTGGCATTTAATTAATTATGAATGTGGACTACAAGGAAGCTGTCCTGTAGAACTTATAGGACCATTATGGACAACATCCTTAAAAATGGCAATTGATTCTAGTATCCCAAAGGTGAGAATGTGTGATACTGGATGAATTAACACCTTTTTATTCTATTCACAGGTGCCTAGGGAGAAAACTTGCTTGGCATAGGTTTGTGTGTGTATCCTTTTTTATATGTTATCCATTTATTATAAAGGATTAAATAATCAGATTTTTGATGCATTTAGAAAACAGTTAAGTATGTGTTTATAACGTGGTGACTTCTCAGGAATAGTCTAGAATCTAATAGGAATAATATATGGTATTTATAGTGTAATCTTACTATCCTCAATAGGAGTTCTGAAATGTGAGTAATGTTACTTGTATATAACTCCAAACTTTCTAACATTCATATTCCTTACAGGATGTTTCATCATCTTTCTATGTCCTCTAGGTTTTCTTTGGACCATTTAATCCTAACTTGAGTGACCATGACCAGTTTCCCTATGTCTATCAGGTAGCAACCAAGGACACACGTTTGTCTCATGCTATGGCATCCTTGATGATTCATTTTAGATGGACTTGGATAGGACTGGTCATCTCAGATGATGACCAGGGCATTCAGTTTCTCTCAGACTTGAGAGAAGAAATGCAAAGGCATGGGATCTGTTTAGCATTTGTGAACATGATCCCAGAAACAATGCAGATATACATGACGAGGGCTAAGATATATGATAAACAAATTATGGCATCATCAGCCAAGGTTGTTATCATTTATGGTGAAATGAACTCTACCCTAGAAGTCAGCTTTAGAAGATGGGCATATTTAGGAGTTCAGAGAATCTGGATCACAACCTCACAATGGGATGTCATCACAAATAGAAAAGATTTCAGTCTTGATTTCTTCCATGGGACTCTCACTTTTGCACACCACAACAATGATATTGCTAAATTTAGCAATTTTGTACAAATAATAAACACTTCCATATATCCAAGAGATATTTCTCAGATTAGGGACAAGTGGAATTATTTTAATTGTTCAATCTCTAAGAACAGCAATAGTAAGATGGATCATTTTATATTCAACAACACAGAGGAATGGTTAGCACTGCACAAATTTGACATGTCCCTGAGTGAAGAAGGTTACAATTTGTATAATGCTGTGTATGCTGTGGCCCACACCTACCATGAACTTGTTCTTCAAAAAGTAGAATCTCAGCAAATTGAAGAATCCAAAGGAGTATTCAATGACTGTCAACAGGTAAAAATTTTTACATTTCATTATGCTTAGATTTTCAGTGTGATCTTTTAAGTGGCCCTCAGAAACTCAAATATATTTGTTAGAGAATATTCTATCAGGGGAAAGATTTCTACACTTTAAAACTCCCTATAGTAACCATCCTCATATTGAATAAAATCAAATTTCAACCAAACATTGTCAAAAAAGATAAGGAAGGACAGTTCATTCTTGTCAAAGGAAAAGTCTACCAAGATATACTTTCAATTCTGAATATCTATGCTCCAAATGCAAGGGCACTGATATTCATAAAACAACTTTACTAAAACTCAAAGCACACATTGCACCTCACACAATAATAGTGGGAGACTTAAACACTGTACTCTCATAAATGGACAGATAGTGGAAACAGAATTAAACAGAGACACAGTGAAACTAAGAGAAGTTATGAACCTAATGGATTTAACAAATAACTATAGAACATTTCATCACAAAACAAAAGAATATACATTCTTCTCAGCAACAGGCCTAGACAGATATAAGAAGATTGACATAATCCCATGTATCCCATCAGATCACCAAAGACTAAGGCTGGTCTTCAATAATAATAAAAACAACAGAAAGCTGACGTACATGTGGAAACTGAAAAACTCTCTACTCAATGATAACTTAGTCAAAGAAGAAATAAAGGATGAAATTTAAGACCTTTTAGAATTTAATGAAATTGAAGAAACAACATTACCTCACTTTTGGGACACAAGGAAAGCAGGGCTAAGAGGAATACTCATAGCTCTAAGTGCCTACACAAAGAACCTGGAGAGAGCATACCCTAGAAGCTTGACAGCACACCTGTAAGCTCTAGAACAAAGAGAAGCAAATACACCCAAGAAATATTGACAACAGGAAATAATCAAACTCAGAGCTGAAATCAACCATGTAGAAAGAAAAGGAATTATACAAAGAATCAACAGAACCAGGAGCTGGTTCTTTGAGAAAATCAAGAAGATATGTAAAACCTTTGTGACACAAACCAGAGGGCACAGAGACAGTATCCAAGATAATAAAATTAGGACTGAATAGGAAGACATAACAACAGAAACTGAGGAAATTCAAAAAATCATTCCAAAAGCCTATACTCAACAAAATTGGAAAATCTGGATGAAATGGACAATTTTCTAGACAGATATCAGGTATCAAAGTTAAATCAAGATCAAATAAACCACCTAACCAATCCTATATCCCCTAAATATATAGAAGCAGTTATTAAAAGTCTCCCAATCAAAAAAAAAATCCAAGATGAGATGTATTTAGTGAACAATTTTATCAGACCTTCCAAGAAGACCTAATACCAATTCTCTTCAAATTATTCCACAAAGTAAAAGGACCACTACACAATCCCTTCTATAAAACCACAATTATGTTCATACCTAAACCACAGAAAGATCCGACAAAGAAAGAGAACTTCAGACCAATCTCCCTTATTAATATCGACACAAAAATACCACAAAAAATTCCCACACACCAAATCAAAGAACATCTCAAAAAAAAAAAATCATCCAACATAATCAAGTAGGCTTTATCCATGGAATTCAGGGATGGTTCAAAATATGGAAAGAGGTCAGTGAAATCCTCTATAGAAGCAATATCAAAGAAAAAAGCCACAAGATCATCTCACTAGATTCTGAGAAAGCATTTGACACAAGTCAACACTACTTCAGGGTCAAAGTCTTGGAAAGATTAGGAATTAAAGGCCCATACCTAAACATAGTAAAAGCAATATACTGCAAACCAGTGGCCAACATCAAACTAAATAGAGAAAAACTTACAGCAATCCTACTAAAGTCAGGGACTAGACAATGCTACCCACTCTATTCCTACCTATTCAGTATAGTACTGTATGCTCTAGCCAAAGCAATTAGACAACAAAAGGAGGACAAAAGGATACAAATTGGAAAGAAAGAAGTAAAAATATTATTATATGCAGATGTTAAGGTAGTATAGTTAAATGACCCCAAAGCTGCAACCAGAGAACTCTTAAACCTGATTTTAAAAAAAAAAAACATTCAGAAAAGTGGCTGGATAAAAAATTAGCTTGAATAAATAGTCTTCCCTTACTCAAAGGACTAACAGGCTGAGAAAGAAATTAGGGATATGACAACCTTCAGAAATAATATAAAATACCTTTTGTGCCTTTAACCAAGCAAGTAAAAGATCTATATGACAAGAATTTCAAGTCTCTGGAGAAAGAAATCAAAAAAGAATCCAAAACATGGAAATATCTCCTATGTTCAAGTATTGGCAGCAACAATATAGTAAAAATGGCCATCTTGTAAAAAGCAATCAACAGATTCAATCCAATCCCCATCAAAATTGCAACTCAATCCTTCATAGAGATAGCAAGAGCAATTTGCAAATTCATTTGGAATATCAAAAGACCCAGGATAGTAAAAACTATTCTCAACAATAAAAGATCTTCAGGGAGAATCACTGTCCCTGACCACAAGCTGTAGTACAGAGCAATAGTGATAAAAAGTGCATGATATTCATACAAATAGGTAAGATCAATGGCATAGAATTTAAGATGCATAAATGAACCCCCATATCTATATGGTCATTTGATCTTTGACAAAGGTGCTAAAACCATCCAGTGGAAAAAACATAGCACTTTCAAAAAATGGTGCTGGTTCAACTGGAAGTCAATATGTAGAAGAATTCAAATTGACCCATTCTTATCTCCTTTTACAAAGCTCAAATCCAAGTGGATCAAGGACCTCCACATAAACCAGATACACTGAAACAAATAGAAGAGTAAGTGGAGAAGAGCCTTGATTACATGGACACAGCAGAAGAGATCCAGAAGAGAAAACCAATGACTCTTTCTCTAAGATAGAGAATTGACAAGTGAGACCTCATAAAACTGCAAAGCTTCTGTAAGGCATAGGATATTGCCAATAGGACAAAATGGCAACCAACAGATTGGAAAAAGATCTTTACCAATCCTACATCTCATAGAGGGCTGATACCTAATATATAAAATGAACTGAAGAAGTTAGATTCCAGACAATAATATAACCCTATTAAAAATGGGATACATAGCTCAACAAAGAATAATCAACCGAGGGAACTCAAAGGATGGAAATGCACCTAAGAAATGTTCAACATCTTTAGGCATCAGGCAAATTCATATCAAAACAACCCTGAGATTCCACCTCACATCAGTCAAAATGGCTAAGATCAAAAACTCAGGTGATAACAGATGCTATCAAGGATGTAGAGAAAGAGGAACACTCCTCCACTGTTGGTGGCGTTGTAAGCTGATAGAACCATTCTAGAAATCAGTCTGGTAGTTCCTCAGAAAACTGCACATAGTAATACCTGAGGATCCAGCTTTACCACTCCTGGGCATATACCCAAAAGATACTCCAACATATAACAAGGGCACATGCTTCCCTATGTTCATAGCTGTCTTAGTTATAATAACCAGAAGCTGGAAAGATCCCAGATGTCCTTCAACAGAAGAATGGATACAGAAAATATGGTACATTTACACAATGGAGTACTATTCAGCTATTAAAAACAGTGAATTCACGAAATTCGTAGTCAAATAGATGGATCTAGAAAATATCATCCTGAGTGAGGTGACCCAGTGACAAAGAACACACATGGAATGCACTCACTGATAAGTGGATATTAGCCCAAAATATTCCAGTACCACATGAAGCTCAAGAAGAACGAAGACCAACGTGTAGGTGCTTTGGTCCTTCATGGAAGGAGTAAAAAATACTCAGGGGAGTAAGTAAGGAAACAAAGTGTGGAGCAGAGACTGGTGGAGGGGCCGTCTGGAGACTGCCAGATCCAGGAATCTTGCCCATGTGCAGTCACCATATCCAGGCATGGTTGAGGATGTCAGGAAGTGCATGCTCACTGAAACCTGATATACCTGTCTCCTGAGAGTCTCTGCCAGAGGCGGATGCTCACAGCTAATCATTGAACTGATCATGTTGTACCCAATCAAAGAGGTAGAGAGAAGACTGAAGGGGCTGAAGGGGCTCGCATCCCCATTGGATGAGCGACAATACCAACCAACCAAAGCTCCCAAGGTCTAAACAGCCAGCCTGGGAACAAGCTTGGAGGGACTCATGGGTCCAGCTGTATGTGTAGTGGAGGATGGCCTTTTCAGGCATTGGTAGGAGAGGAAGTCCTTGGTCTCATGAAGGCTGGATGCCCTAGTGTGAGGGAATTCGAGGTTGAGGAGGGAGAAGTTGGTGGATGGGTAGGACCACATCCTCATAGAAGTATCAGGAGGGGGGATGGAATAAGGGGAGTGAGGGGAAATGGAAAAAGGGGATAACATCTAAAATGTAAATAAATAAAATATCCAATAATAAAAAACAAAACAAAAAATAAATTTGGAGCAAAAAGTTTTATCATAAAGCCTTATTTGATGACTTGATTAGAATAATTTCCTAAGGAATTGGTACATTTGCTGTGATTAATAGTTTGACATTTAAAGTAACTTTAAAAAAAACATAAATGATAAAGACAACACATTTTCTTAAGAATATGTTTATTTAATATATGCAAACTGTATGTACGTGAATGACTCACTACCACTCTTTGTTTCCACAACTTCCAGATATTCAGACTGCCCACTCATTCTCACATACATGGTTTCATTTTTAAAAATTATTTCTCCAAATGTGTTCATACACACACACACACAATGTTACTCTTTATTTGGTAAGCATCTTTAATTACCCATGAGGCATATTGTATCTTACTATATGGGATAAATTTAATATATCTGTCTTCCCTGGAAGCCATTAAAAATTAGAGGACATTCTCAATTTTGTATTGCCTTATTTGATATAAGTATATAATCATCTAATGATGCATCTCATTTAGGTGGCTTCCTTGCTAAAGACCAGGGTATTTACTAACCCTGTTGGAGAACTGGTGAACATGGATCACAGGGAAAATCAGTGTGCAGAGTATGACATTTTCAACATTTGGAATTTTCCACAAGGCCTTGGAATAAAAGTAAAAATAGGAAGCTATTTTCCTTGTCTCCCACAGAGTCAACAACTTCACATATCTGAAGACTTGGAGTGGGCCACAGGAGGAACATCGGTGTGTGTACCACAGTTTTCATTGTTTGAATATACCTAAATTTTAAAATATGAGACACCAAAGCTGAGACACCATTTTTTCTCCCCCTTCCCTATTCCACCCAGGTCCCTCTCTCACTCTGCCTTCCATGATTATTTTGTTCCCTTTTCTAAGTGGGATTGAAGCATCCACACTTGGGCCTTCCTTCTTGTTATTCTTCATATGCTCTGTGAGTTGAATGCTGCCTATTCTGAACTTTTGGATAAAATCTAGTTAACAATGCCATATATGTCATTTTAGTTCTGGGTTGCCTTACTCGGGGTGATATTTTCTAGTTCCATCCATTTGCTTGCAAAATTTATGATGTCATTGTTTTTAATAGCTGAGTAGAATTTCCTTGCAAATGGTCCATCCTCAGTTAACAGCATGAAAATTTGCTAACTCACAACTTCCTATGAATCTGGGTCATAGGGGTTTAAGGTATCTGGATTTCATGCTCAAATCTACCTACAAGTCTATTCACCCCACAATTCAGAAACACATTTATGAAATTTAAAATATGTGTATATTTATAATAAAAATTTTGTAACTACACATAAACCATAAAATTCTGTGACACTCTTTGAATATCATTATAGACTAATAAAGTATAGCAAATAGTCATTATTTCCACATTCCTGGCTTTGTTTTAAACTTACAAAATCTTTAATTCTATGAGAGTCTATGACATGGTTTATTCATAGTCATCAAAGAACTTTTTCTTGATCTACCCTACCTTATCTGCTCACACAAGTCAGTATCCTTCTTATTTTATATATAAATCATTTGAGAGAAATTGATGCCACATAAATGTTGTGTTTCCATTTAATCACTTTAGAAAGGAAAAATCTTAAATCTGTACAACACAATTGTTACACATTTAATATTACATGATGTAGTAAATATTGTGTTACATTCAAGGTATTGGAGGTTTATACAAAATAATAAAGTGCCTAAAATTTATAATTTATATGTGATTTATCAGAGGAATAAATATAGTAATATCTGTTAAATATATAAATAAACATATATATCAAAAATTATGTAACTACATATAAATCAAAAATTTTGTAACAAATGTATATATATATATATATATATATATATATATATATATATATATACATATACATACACTTGATGAATACATAAATATTCATATATATCCTCAGGTTCCCACCTCCATGTGTAGTGTGACATGCACTGCTGGATTCAGGAAAATTTATCAGAAACAAACAGCGGAGTGCTGCTTTGATTGTGCCCATTGCCCAGAAAATGAAGTTTCCAATGAGACAGGTACATCCTTCCATGCAGAAAAAAAATTGCTGAATTCCAGTATCGTCTCTTTCCAAAGTAGAAATGTAAAATGGCCTAGATAGAAATGAAAGACCTAAAATCTGTGTGTTTCAGAATTTAATCTTTTGAATGATATCAACATTTTGGGAGCCTGCCAATAACCTGCAATATCTTCTACAAAAATATTTTTCTCCCAGTATGATGGTTGGTGATTTTATATTTTGCAGAAAACTTTTAGGGGGAGAATCATTTGTAACCATTTCATTTTTATATTATTCCCCTCACATTGGCACTTCTGTTTGAGACTAGGTGCTTCTGCTCCCACTGAGTTCATATAGGGCAGCCCAGATAGATATACATATCTTACATACAGGGATCAGCTTTTGGGACAGTCCCCTGCTCCAGGTGTTCAGGGCTCACATGAATACCGAGCTGAGTGTCTGCTACATATGTGCAGGGAGACCTATGTTCAGCCTGTGTATGTTGTTTGGTAGGAGGTTCTGTCTCCAAGAGCCCTAAGGGTCCAGGTTAGTTGACTCTATTGACCTTCCTGTAGAGATCCTATCCCTTTAGGGGCTGAAGTCCTTGCTCTTGTTCTTCCATAATAGTCCCTAAGCACCATCCAAAGTTTGACTATTGGTGTCTGCATCTATTTCAGTAAGTTGCTGCATAGAGCCTCTAAGATGATAGCCATGCTAGACTCCTGCCTGCAAGTATAACAGAGTACCATTAATAGTCTCAGGGAATGGTGTTTGCCAATGGGATGGATCTCAAGTTGGGCCTGTTATTGGGTGGCCTTTCCATTTGTCTCTGCTCATCCAAAATCCCTGAAATTCTTCTAGAGAACTCTAATTGGGGCCTGCATCCATGTTTTTGTCTTGACGTCTTTCAATTGTCTCTGACCAAGGTATACAGAGAAATCAACACGTTTCTCATATGTTTCTATTGACTAGCTGTTTTGTTAAAGCAATAGAAACTAAGGCATTAGTATAATGGTCACATAAGTTTGCCCTCCCACCAGTTGTGTGTTTAACTAATAAGTAATTTTTCTCATCCATTCCCTATGATGGTATGTTGTTTCATCACCAAGCATAGGATAGTACAGAGCAGCCTTAAGTTACTGGTCCCTACAGCAATAAGGAAAGAAATAAATGTTCAAGAAGAAAATATTTTTGGGGGTATCCTCTGAGTAATCCAAGTACTCAGTTATTAAGTACATAATTATGACATCTTCTGAAGGTTTGTTTTTCACCAGCAGATATGGAGCAGTGTGTAAAGTGTCCAGATGATAAGTATGCCAACCTACAGCAAACCCACTGCCTGCAAAGAGCTATATCATTTCTGGCTTATGAAGATCCAGTGGGGATGGCTCTTGCCTGCATGGCCCTGTGCTTCTCTGTGCTCACGGTTCTAGTACTCCTCACTTTAGAAGCACTTAGAGAAGTTATTATCGAGTTTATTACTAAGTGTAAAAAGTTTCCTATGAAAGCTGTCTAAGGGGAAAAGTAGAAAGGTCCTAAGTGTGGGAAAGGAAAACACTCTAACAAAGGAAAAATTCTAAGCAGGGGAAAAGGAAAGGAAGGGACGAACAGCTCCTAAGGAACCTCTACATCTATGACTACTCTACTACCTTGTCTTTTTCTTCAGTACTGATACATCTTTCAGAGTACATGATCACATGTTACAAAGTTCATCACAAGTTCACATTAAAAGTCAAATCATAATTTGAAATAGAAGTTTACAACAGAGAATGTTTATACATGCATATCCATTAGGAGCAATCATCTAGCTAAACATCTATCACCTGTCTAGCTCCACAGGTTCACTGAAGGTTTAAAATTATAACTAAGAAATTAGTGAAGTTTTGTATAGATAAACCCAGGCAATATTTTCTCTTCTGCCCTAGCACCTACAATAGATTGTGAGTTCCCTTTTAGTGACCTTTGGTTAATTGTTTTACAACCTTATTGGAATGTGCTCTGAGCAGGAGAGAGTCTGGTTACTATCTAAGGGCAACTAACTGATGACACTCAGGGGTCTGGCAGAGTTCTCATTGCAGTTTTGACTATCAGAAAAGCACATAATAACAGTCCCACTATCTAACAACTTCATAATCACAGATATAATTTTAAGAATTCTTATGGGATCATGGTTAAGACTTAAGAAGTCATCAACTTGTCTATATAGCATCACTACAGGATAGTATATCTTCATAGATTTGCAGAGATCTCTTCCCAAGAGGTGAACTATTGCTTAGAGATGGTTATCTATGTTTAATAATAACAAGAAAAGCATATTAATAACAGGAATCTTTCCTAAAATGAATTCTCTTTTGGCCTTCCCTAATAAGAGTGAACCTGTAGCAGATTATATAATAATCTGAAGCACACCATCTCAGGAAGATCACCTGCTAGTATTCAGCTTGTCCTGTTATGACTCCTGACATAATAAACGTATATGAGGACATCAGATAGAGATTCCAGATTAAGTGAGGAGTAGAAAACCAGATGTGTTAGGTTCTGTAGGACAAGACCTGGCACCCGTGCTCACGTGAACATCAGGCGATAGTAGATTCCTTTCATCCTTGATATTACAGAACCAGGCTGGAAATGGGCAAGGTTTCTTGTCCCACAGATTGACTCTCTCATTCACTTTCACTCTCAGTAATGAGATTCTTTCTAAGGATCTTCACAAGAACAAAGCACTGGAAGAATGTCTTCTTCAGTATGCTCTGAGATCTCCCTCAGTAAAAGATCAGCATTAACTAACTCTTTTAATCTTGTAGATGCTAGACACACTCATTCAGATGCATGTTAACCCTGATGCAGTCTCTATCCACTCCTCCTACTAGTAAGGTTCCTCCCAACATTGTTGACCCAGATGTTCACCTTTCTCTTACCCACATTCACAATAAGGAGGGTTTTCTGAATTGAATATGTCATCTCATGGGCCTAATCTGCATTGTTATCCTAGATGTGAGGTGACAAATCTGTTTCTAACTGACAATCAGTGATCCTGTGGCTGGTTCCTGAACTCACAGGAGCCTTGTATGAATGTGTGGCAGCTTAAGACAATTAGCATGCCTGCCTCATGTACTGGTCACTAGAAGTTTACAGAATTTTCCATCTTTGATTGGGAATGATCTAGCACACTTGGTTGGAAGTACAAAATTCAACTGTTGTGTGGGCAGGAGAGATGTGTTCTCCATTAACAAAATTTGTTGCAGTCTCACAGAACTCACATAACAGCTACAAACCTGATTAACTCAAATTCTGGTGGAATCTGATGCCTGATTCTGGTCTCTGTGGGAATCCTGCTTGTGTGGTACAAAGACATTCAGCAGGCCGAACACCCACATGTTATTAATTTTTCTTAATCAATAAATGTTAGAATTTTAATTGTTATGTTCTATATAAGTGTTTATTTTATTCACCTTTCCAGTGTAGATTTTATCATGTGTACCACTCTTTATAGGATGTTTTTCTCTTGCATTCTTATTTAATTGAAAAAGATATTGACAGGAATGATCATTTGTAGAGTTTTTGTTTAATGTGGGTAAAGACCTGATCTGATTCACAAGTACTGTACAAATAGACTCAGTGCCCATGTATATAACCCCAACCCCCATGGGTTGGAGCAGAAAGAAAAACATTGAAGAATATCTTCAGGCAGGACACAATTAGTTTGAGATCATCCAGCACCACAGTTTATAACTAAATACATATAGTGAGAACAGCACATAGGCCTTTCCTAGCATCAAATAGTAACGTTTGTCAGATGGCTTCTCAGTAGTTTTCCAGGCACTTCCCTAGTAATGGATGTCATTCATAGACTATGGTACTCTTCTCTTCTTTCTTTTCGGTCTGAACTCACTGTGAATATTGTGTGATGAAAGTGGATTTCAAATATCCTAAACTTTGTGTTGTTAACCTAAACTTTTTATACCTATGTTGATTTAATCAAATTTCCCCTACTCTGTAAACTCTGAAGGCTTCTTTAACTTACACAAAAAGAGAGACCATCTTTTGAAGTTGTGATTTAGAGCACATCTCATGCCAGTGTCAGTAGAAAGTAGGTAAAGCACTTGACTGACAAGAAAGTTCCTTATGTGGCAGGAACTTTTGTGTTTGTCTGTGTTTTGTGTATGTCTGTGTTTACTCTCTCTCTCTCTCTCTCTCTCTCTCTCTCTCTCTCTCTCTCTCTC